GGTTCGAGTCCTGGACCCAACAGCTTAAAACTCACACTAGGCACATATGCATGCGTGTCCAAAATACCTAGAGGAGAATGGAGTAGAAGAGATTGCAGTATGGCCATCCCCTCTGGGAGGTGATTTCTCGCTGTCTATCTGTTGTCTCTGTCTCTCTAGCGAGTGCATACCCTCTATAGCAAAAAATCTCTCTCAAAAAAATTAAATAAATTAAAAAAATATGGTTAAAATATTGGACTCCCACATAGCTAACCATGATTTGAGTCTCAGACCTGGTGACTGACTTTCTCATTTTCCCGCTTTCTCTCTTTCTGTCTTTCTCTCTCTCTATATATATATATATATATATTTGCCCTATAGCAAATTTTAAAATATTAATTATAATAAATAAAATTAAATAATTCTTTAGATAAATAGTTGGAGATAACAGTTTAGGAGGCTACAGCGGTAGTAATGGTGGCTTTGATCAGGTTGTTGGCAATGGAGGACAGAAATGGGTATATTTAAGAGATGCTTAGAATATAATTGATTGATAAGATAGAATCTTTGAGGCACTGGTGAAGGAAATTTTATAGATGACCCACTTAGTTTCTGATGTGAAAAATAAAGTGGATGATGGTATAGTACAGGTAAAAGTTACTTGGAAAAGGGGTACATATTTGAGAGATCTAAGACATCTGAGTAAAACTATCTAAACAAGTGTTAACATGTGAAGCTAGAGATTAAAAAACTCACAGTCACTGGTGTAAATCTTGAACCCATGAGAATGAATGGGATTGCCTAAGGGGAAAGAGAGAGAGAGAGAGACAGAGGATAGCTTCAGATCAAGTCCTATGGTACATAACTTACGCCGCATAAGCAGGGAGAGGCTCAGAAAGGAACCTGAATAGGAGCAGCTAGAGCAAATCCCGTAGAAACATGCCACAGGATAACTGCCTCTGTAAGGAACTGTACCGCTCCACTTAGATACAGACTTTCGTCAGTATTTGAAATAGTTTTTTTTTTTTTCAAAGAGTATTTTTCTTAAGATTTCCATAATAACGTTTCCTTTTCTCTCGCTTACTTTAGTGTACATGATAATCAACTGTTATATCAGTAAGGTGTCTGGTCAGTAGTAGTCTATTAGTAATTAGGCTTCTGGGGAGTCAAAAGTTATTCACTGATGGGCCAGCAGATGGCATTCCACATGGCCTATTATGCCATTCAAGTCCCAGATCTGGTGGCTTGAAAAACATGTCAGGCAAGTGTGTATACGCCCAAAATCCTGAAAGGAGAATGGAGAAGGGATTCCAGTGTGGCCGCCATCACTCCACCCACCCACCCCAGGGGGTAATTTCTCTCCTCTCTCTCTTTCCAGTGAGCACATATGCCTATGGCAGTCTTTTTAAAAAAGAGAAGGAAAGTTGTTCATTGGCTTCCAACGCATAGGGTTCAGTTCCCCCAATCCTGGCTAATGGAGATTTTTGATGACTTCAAAATGAATTCTTTTATAGAAACATAAAGGCAAAAGGAATATTGGGAGAGATTGAGGAATAAACAGAAAGTAAATAAGCAGAAAGAGAAAATGCCCAATTATTTCATGAATTTAGCTGTGAAGAAAAATCAGATTTATGGCCAGAAAATATGAACAACAGAATGACTTTGGGGTTTTATTTGTTTTGTTTTGTTTGTTGTTTATTTAAGCTGAAAAGATTCTTGAGCAAGTTTAACCTCCATTAATAAAAGGATAGATCAAAGATAGAAGAGAGAGAAGTGATAATCTGTGATACAAGCTTTTTGAAAAGGCAGGGAGAGTGTTGATTTATAGAAAGTAGCAATCTCATTGCAGTGTAATAATATCTTAGGTTGGACTCCTTAGCAGACCAAGTATAAGGTTAAGCATCCTCATCTGAGAAAGGGAGATCTTAGTCCCTTTAGAGAAGACAAGTGTGACTGTAGAAGTAGATGCCCAAGTGAGGTAGAGGAGAAAAGAAAGATGCCCGAAGATGAAGACATGAGACCTGAAGGGTGGATGCTTGTCCAAGCAGATAGTATGTATTATCTAGAGTTGAGGTTCAGAGTTAATCATTCTAAGGCACCAAAGTTCTTTGGTGAATGAAGAGTCGTAGTCAGTAAATCACGGCAAAGAGTAAAGAGAGGTGCTTACTGGGTTTTCTGAGTCTCAAAGAAATGGAAATTTTTTTAAAGAATTATTTATTTTATTTAATTTCTTTTTTAATTGGCTATAGGGAACGTGCTCTCACTTTACAGAGACAGTCAGAGAGAGAAAGGGAACATGAAAAAGCAAGCTGCCTGGTCTAGGATTAAACAACTGGTGGCCATGTGGAAGTCCAGCACCTTAACCACCCCACCATCTGCTGGCCCAGGAATGGAAACTTTTAAAGAAGTGAAAAAGAATGCTCTGACATCTAAATTTGAGGACCAAAGACAATACCAGTGCTCAAGTGCAAGGATATAGAGAAGAAACATGCTCCGCTCAAAAGGGCTACTGAGAAAGCAATATGCTTAAAGGACAGCTAGGTTCTAACTAAGCAAAGAACTGAAGAGTAGTATTCCTACATGAGGTAAACAATGTGAGTGTTTTGACTGTAAAACACAAGTCCTATGGAGCATCAATGAAGGGTTCAGGAGTGGCAGAGGAAAATGAGAGGGTTAATAAGCAGTAGGGAACTGCAGAGCAGTCTGGGAGTAACAGAGGGCAAGGGTAAGTGGAGATGAGATCATGACCTGAGGATCATTAAGTCCTGTACCCTATCTGTGAATCCCCGGGATAAATGTGTATTTTTAAAGCAAACGAGAAGGAGTTGATGAGTGAAGAGGTGGGTGACCTATGGTGTAATCCTCTGACCAGCCCCGAGGCATTTGATGGTTACTCTTTCTCCTACTCACCACACTAAGAACTGCTTACCTTTCCAGTCCTTCTCTCCCCCTTTTTTTCCCCCACTCTTATAGTGTCTCTCTCCTTTCCTTCCCATAAAGATAGTCTTTCTTAGCCCTTTCTTCTTTCTCTTCCTCTGGCAGCAGGCATCCTAAGGGCCGCAGATGGCATTCATGGCCAAGAACATTCGGCTCACCCTTACATGAAAGCATGCATCCCAGTGTAAGAAACCAGCATACGAGAGAACTGCTGCGTCAGGCTTCGTGCAGAGGTTGAGGAAGTGATTGCTCTAGCTACCAGTAAACAGGGCAGCCTCTGTGAAACTGAGTCATTGAGTACATCAAACCCAAACACCTGTTCGTTTTATGGCAGCTTTCCTAGACACCCAGATAGAGATCAGGGCCGTTCCATTTGCTGTCCCGTTGGGGCAGGGCTGTCAGTGTAAAAATACTGCTTGTTGTGCTCTCACATGTTCCTGTCTTTCATGGGTCTTGGCAAACACGTGAATTCATTGAAGCATCTCATAAGAATATTATTACGAAACTAGAATTTACTAAAAATTAATTATTTTTACTGTCATAGATGTATTTATACTTTAATTTCCTTTTAATTAATGAGCTAACATTGTATCTATTTTGCAAACAAGTTTTATCGCTCCTGCGCGTTCTCAGATTGTTTGTTAACGCTTGTACTTTGCTTGTCACTGCCTTTTCTGTCACTTGGTCTGCCACTGTGTCTTCTGCTTCCTGTCATCTCTTCTGACTTCTGTCACATACCTTCCCTACTATTCAGCACTTTCTTCTTGAAGCGTACACTCATTATTATTATTCTTGTGACTCACTGAAATTTCCCCATTAAATGATCCTATCTTGAATTTGAGAAAGTGATCATAGAAAAATAGATCATATGTAATTACTGCATCATTTTTCAAATGTTAAAATGATTATTTCAAAATGTTTTTAAATCTTTGTATATTTTTCTTTTATACTATTGCTGATGATAAAATCCGTGATCTTTAATAGACAATACCAAGGGTCTTTTATTTCACTGAAGTTTTTGTATTATCCAAAAGGTTTGTTTCACCGTAAGCATGTTAAAACTCTCAGACACAGAAAATAATATATCAGACATAGTGTTTATATAAATGATTCACAGACTAAAAACTACTTGGAGAACATGAAAATAGTGTTAAATGATGTTCAACATTTTTTCCTAGAGATTTTTTAGAAGAGATTGCACAGTGTAAGAAATTCTCTGATTGACCATATAAGTAAAATGAATGTTGGGACCACAGATGTTCCCATTGGTGGATGTACTGAAGTTAAAGACCGTATCTTCCCTAACAACAGTGTGACAAGATTCCTAAATAACCTCTGGAACCTACTGGGCATTTCATGAAGTAAACAAAATTCCCCTTGCAAGTTCTGACAACTGCCAGGCATTTTGGATGGTGAAGTAGGCCTCTGGCAGAACATGTGTCCCACGTGGCATGTTCCCTGTGTCCTGCGTTTGGCTAGGTCTCACACAGAGCATGTTTGCCAATGGAAACCCCGACCTATAATCAACAAGATTCTTATGTCATAAGAAATTTCTTTCTGTCCTATAGAAAATACACTACATGGATATAGCCCTAGTGAAAGCAGCACAGTACCACCGCACCCACAGCCACATGCATGCACAGTTTCTTCATCTTCTTAAACTTTCAAATGTCTGATAATCAACTGCCCCACTTCTTAAAGATTTTTTTTTAGACTGGACATCTAAATTTTAAATCATTAGATCTGGGATATGGCCCAGGAATCTTTTTTTTTTTTTTCTTTTCAGAGAAACTTTTTGCTGTAGGGCACATGTGCTCTCCAGAGAGACAGAAAGCAAGAAATCACCCCCCTGTAGTCCCTACTCCCTTCTCTTCATGGGACTTGGGGCATGCACACACACACACCTGGCGTGAGTTTTAAGCCGCCAGATCTAGGACTCAAACCATGTGGACTATGTGGGAGTCCAGTGACATAACCCTTATCCCATCTGCTGGTCCCAAACATGCTTTTTTTTTTTTTTTTTTAAGTGAATCTACTGATACAGAGATGTAGATACAGAATTTGAGGAGGAAAAAACACTGTATCTCCATATCCAAACTTTAAGAGAAGTCTATGAGTACTATTTAGAATTCAGCTATTTGCAGAATCCTGTTATTTTCTTTTGAGATTTTTGTTCAGTTGATTCAAAGTTAACTTAGAATGACTCCTACATTCTAACGTAATTAAAATAAACATGGAGATTCTAAGTTTAAAGTAGGCATAAAGTAGCTTGGCGAATAGTTATTATATTTAAATATATTGCTCTCAATATTCTTATGCAATGTATTACACACAATTGCATCCTAAATTTACATGTTCATAAATGTTAATCTTATAGAAAACTTAAAACAATAATTTTGCTGTACCACTATGAACACTGTAAAGTTACATCTGAGATAGAAATATTTAAAAGCAGTAGAATGTAGATAAATGCTCATTAAAATAGTATAATAAAGCATTCATCTAAATTATTTTTAGGCAAAACCAGCAATATAAACTATAATTTTTGTTTCTTTCATACTCTGTAGCATATATTATACTGTATGTATTTGGAAATAAGGGACCATTTTTTATGTCCAGTGTCCCATGTCATTCTTTTAAAACTGACAAATGAAAAATTATATGCATTTATTCTGTGCATCATGATGTTTTGATGTATGTATACATAATTAAATGGTTGGCTCAAACTAAAGCATTTTTCTCAGTGAAGAATACAGAAACATTTGTGTTTCCCTCATTATCTTATTTCTCCATTTTCATTTTTTAATCATTTTAACTCTTCTGGTGACAATGACTATGGAAGATGCAAGGAGCACAGTTTTAAGTTCAGCCTTGTATGACTATCCCTCAGTCCAAATGGACGTCACTGGTACTGTCTCAGTCCTAGGTAATGCGCTTGCAAAAAAGCATGCTTCCTTTGTTGGATTCTTGACTATTGATATATTGGAGTTTTTGATTTGTTGTATTCTTAACATTTCTAATCCTATTGTGTCTGAAGTGAGATAAGAGAGTAGTGTTTCTTTAATATAAATTCTGTTAACGCAATGTAATGAAAATTTAAAACTATGAAACCTGTCTACTTAAGTAAATCTGGAGTCATGGCACTATATGAACTTTCTGGGATGCTCTTATATTCCGTTCTTTTCTAATATAAATTCCATGACTTCTGCAATTTGAGGCTAAAGGAAATTTACAACAAGCACTAAATAAAAAGGAAAGAACATATGTGATCATTTCTGATGTTCATAGGGTTTTGATATAAAAACTCTTCTATTGGGTCATTGGAAAAGTTATGACACGTTTTTGCATAGAAAAATAGGCCATGGGACCAGTAGTTAGCGTAATGGCTATGTCGCTGGACTCCCATGTCATCAACTGCGGTTCGAGTCCTGGACCCGGTGGCTTAAAACTCAAATGCCGGGCACGTGTGCGTGCGTGCCCAAGATCCCGAGAGAAGAATGGAGGAGAAGGGATTGCCATGTGGCCATCCCCCCTGGGGGGTGATTTCTCACTTTCTGTCTCTCTGTCTGTCTCTGGCTGGCTGGCGAGTGCACGCACCCTATAGCAAAAAACCTCCCCCCCAAAAAATGAAAAATAGGCCATGACTTTTCCCGATGACCTACTATATTGCACTTTCTTTTCATTTTTAACTAGATGTGATGATGTGCTTTCTTTTTTGTATTCAAAGGGCAGCCATTCAACAAAAGTGGAAGCTGTGGTCAGAACTCTGATGAAAATACAGCTTAGAGATCCAGGAGCTAAAGCACTTGTTTTCTCAACGGTACAATCAACATTTTCATCTTCATCAGTAATTCAGAGTGGTATTCTGTCTCTAATCAGATTACACCTAAGAACTCATTTTTAATATTTACCCTAACAGTTAAGATTTAGAATTACTGATAGATTTATCCGTATCTATAAGATAGAATTATTTTAAGAAAAATTTGATGACACTTTATAATGCAATTCCTATAACTACAATACATTTTAGGATTTTATATCTATTTTATTTTGAGGTTTTCTTATTTTAGTATTTTTAAAAGTGTGGCCCAGGCTGATGGCACAGTCAGTGGCACACTGAACTGCAGTACTGAAAGCCACATGGCTGACCATAGTTCTGGATACCTGGGTCAGCCTAAAAGGCACCAGGCACATGCATACATGCCTTGTGTCCAGGATTCTGATTGGCTGGGGAGGGGAATAGTGTTGTGAACAAGACCCTATCAGGAGTGCTTTACCTTCTATTTCTTTCTCATACATGCACATCATGAAAATGAAATTAAAATTTATAACCTTGAAAGTCTCACTTCACAAATGAATTTGTTATTTAAGAAAAAGAAAATTAAAATAATCTGAATAAAGTTTCAGTAAAAAACTGCAGTTTTCATTTTTGAAAGATAAATAGCCATATCAGTAAGCACTCTTTGTTTATCTTAATTCAGCTTTCAAAGATATTCATTTTTTTAACCCTACTTTTTTCAGCCACCATCTGATACAAAAAAAAAAAAAAATACATATATACACACATATATGTGTGTGTGTGTGTTTGTGTACATCAATACTATTTTAAGGTAGATTTAAATGATATTGATGGTTCAATATTTGAGATTTTGTTGTGTTTTATTTAGGTAACTCTGAAGTATGAAAGTTATTTTAATTTAGTCCCTTTTCAAATGCTCTTTAGATGAGAGCTATATGTAATATTGGTTTTCTTATTGTCTTATGTGTTCTAGTGGCAAGATGTATTAGATATTATTTCAAAAGCTCTCACTGACAACAACATGGAATTTGCACAGATCAGTCGCGTTAAGACATTTCAGGTATGCCAAGAGTTTATTTAAATTGGAACCTCTGCTCACTAGCTTATTTACATTTATTGTCTTGTGTCATATAAGCCAAATAGCAGGTTTATTCGTGATATAAATTATAAAATTAACATTTAAAAACAAAGTAGAGAAACTATTTTTGATCTGTTCAGCTATACCTGTAACAAGACCTTCATTTTTTTTTTTTTTTTTCAAAAGATCTGACTTGAGGTCACGTTCTTTAACGTAGGATAAGATTGTCCATGATACACCTTTAGAAAGGACAGAGGCCTCCTCCTGCTGGGATTAGGTTCTAAAGACTGTATCTGGCAAAAGAGCATGTGGTCACACTTGTTCTTACATGATTCCCAACGCAAGGACAAGTGCACATCCTACGGCATGAGTGCTCACACACACCACATACAAAGACCAAGTGAGAATTTAGCACATTTACATCTCTTGATTTCACATTCACTCTGTTACATTATTTTTCTCTTTTTCTTCTAAACTCATGTAGGTCAATGTGCATAGGCACATGCATCTCTCTATATGTTATTCCAGTATATCTTACAAAGAACAAGAGAGCTCACATTATACTTTTCTTTGTAACTCAAGTCAAGCAACAAATTTACATTTCCTAAAATTGGCAATTGTACATTTAATTTTACTTAGTTATTACATTTCACGACTTAATAAATACTGTTGGACATCTTTAGTGTGAGCTATAACTTACTGCTCTTATTTTAGCTGATCCAGCTAAAATTAAAATGTACCTTTCTTTTTTAGGAGAATCTTTCAGCATTTAAACGTGATCCCCAAATCAATATTTTGCTGCTGCCCCTGCACACAGGTTCTAATGGATTAACTATCATTGAAGCAACTCATGTTCTCCTGGTGGAGCCCATATTGAACCCCGCCCATGAGCTTCAGGCCATAGGGAGGGTGCACCGAATTGGACAGACAAAGTAAGCACTAATTAGCATCAGTCTCATTGCTTCAGGTTTTTTTAAGATTCTAGATCTGCATTTAGGCTCCTTGTGTTTGTCATAGTTGTTTTAATTACTTTCTTATTTATTAAGTTTTTAAACATTATCATTTGAGCAAAAGCATGAAAATTCCACCTCCCTCTATTCCAAGCAACAAACCTTCAAGTTCTACCAGATTTTTGTCTTCAATCCTACAAAAACATAATAACTTCATCAGAAAGCTTATTAGAATTACTTAAAACAGGGATGGCAGGTGGTGTGGTGGTTAAGGTGCTGGATTCTCAGATGCCCAAATGCAATTAGATCACCAGACCTGACGGTTTACTTTCTCTCTTCTCTCTCTCTCTCTCTCTCTCTCTCTCTCCCCTATTCTCTCTCTCTAGTCAATTTGAATAATAATAATAATAATTGAAGAATAAATAATAGTAATTTGAATAATTATAATCTATAATAATTAAAATTTATTATAATATAAGTAATTAAATCATTATTTTTCAAAAATACTTAAGATAGCTGCAGAGTTCAAGGCAGCTATCATGACTTCAAGAAAAATCCATTTCTGATTGTCTAAAGTAGCTTGTGTTTAAACAAAGATAAACCTCATGTACAACTGAAAACCATTGGCCCTTTTTAAATTTTTACCCTTGAAAAAGGACATCCTCCTAGTTCAACTCTAAGAGATAGTTAGGTTTAGTTTAAGGCACAAAGCAAACCTAATAGTGAAAATTATGACTGTGTACTACCATATTCAAATACCAGAATGAAGAATTGATAAGACCTCTGAGATACATTACCTGGATGTTATATGCCTTAAACATTAAAAAAAAAAAAAAAATCCACATCTATACAAAGTACCCATTAAATATTTACTGATCATCTAGTGTATGTCAGATACTATGCTACATACTAAAGATTTAAACTGAATAAGACATAATCTATTCCCCCAAGGAGGTCACTACATAGTACAGGAAACAAATGATTTAAAATACCGTGATAGAATATGTAAAAATATAATAGAAATACTGTGTTAACCAAAGAAGACAATGATCAGTATTCTAGAGAGTCAGGAAAGACTTTATTTACTATGTTGAATCTAGCAAGATTATTTTATTTTTTTGTAGATCTTTTTGCCTTAGGGCACATGTGCTCACTGGAGAGAGAAAATGAGAAATCACTCGCCAGGGGAGATTGCCACACCATAATCCCATCTCCATTCTCCTCTCAAGATTTTGGGCACACATACACACACACAGACGTACCCCGCATGTTTTCAGGCTGGTGAGTCTGAGACTGGAACAATGGAGCTGGCCATGTGGGATCCAGCATCTTAATCACCATGCCACCTCCTGGCCCCAGGATTATTTTAAAGTTGGGCTAGAAAAAAGTATTCACACAGCCAGATTGAGTTGCATATTCAAAAATAGCTACGATTAACGACATGCCATTTCTAGGGACTGTAAGGAGTTTAGAATTGCTGGAGTATGAAGTCTGAGAAAAAGAGTGACAGGATATGAGGTCTGCTTCCCTGCTGTACTCAGAAATACAGACTGCTCTATAAACTATAGCCAGAAGAGCTAATAAAGGGTTTCAACTGTAAGCAGGAAAGAGAAATGTTCATTAAACAAACCCTTAACAAAATAAGGCAAAGTAACATAACATAATAAATGCAGACTTGTTAGAAAGTACCACCAGTGTCATTTAAAATGTAGTTATGTCTTTCTTCTTTTTGTCTTGTTCTGTATTTTCAGCCATCGATGACTTGTCCTACCAGTATTTTTCTTTTTTTTTAAGAAATTAATTATTTAACTTTATTTATTCATTTATTCATTCATTTTAATTTGACCAGAGAGGGACAGAGTGAGAGAGAGGGGAGAAGAAAGCAAGCCACCAGGTCTGGGACTTGAACTGTGGTTGGCAACATAGGAGTTCAGCACCCTCATCCACCACACCACCTGCTGGCCCCTTACCGATGTTTTTCTAAAGTATAGGCTGAACTCATCTCGGATTTAGAACCCAAGTCTAAAAAGTCCCACCTAACTGTCTTACTATGTATGCTTTCTAGTAAGTAGTTTTTTGCTCTCTAAGGAGTCTATCAAAAGTCTTCCGTATCTTCTTCCTCCTCCCCTGAGGATGATTTTGTGTTATAGAGGGGGGATACCTCTTCTTTTTTCATCAGTTTAAATAGCCTGTTTAGGCAATACCCACTTGCTTTATTCAATAGATTTTTTACTGAGCACATTCTGTGTTTCAGGCACTATTCCAAATAACTGAGATGCCCTCATGGACCTTATATTCTATTTGTCAGGAAGTTAGTATAGAGACAGATGATAAACTATTGTTTATATAATAAGTGTGTGAAGTATGAAGGCCCTAAGTCAGAAGTATGCCCAATATGTTCAAGAAATATCAGGGAGCCAGAGTTGCTGAAGTAGAACGAGCCAGGCAGAGTGCAGAGGATTTGAAGGTGGAGGGATTGACAGGGAGCAAAGTTGTAGTAAGCCCAGTAGGCCACTGTGAGGGCACTGTTTTTAAGCTTTGTGAAATAGGGAGCCATGGGAAGGCTGTGAGCAAAGGAGTGGCATGATCTACCTTAAATTTTGAAAGAATCATCCCTGAGTGCTACGTGAGGGCCAGTGTGGGGAAGAGAGTGAGGGGAGTAGATGCAGGCAGAGGCTTAGAGGCCATCACAGTCATCTTGGTGAAAGCTGAAGGCGACTCGAGCGTGGTAACAGCAAAAGGCACTCGGTAAGAAGTGGTTGGGTTCTGTATAGATGTTGAAGAGCAAACCAGTAGTGTTTGCGGATAGACTGGGCATGGATGTGAGAGCAGCCAGAGTGACAGCATGGGCTTTGACCTGGACACCTAGGAGGATAAAGTAGTCTACAGGGTAAAGAAAGCACGGCAAGGGAAGAATAGCTCACTTTAGATTAGTTTATTAGATATCCACATGGAGAATCTAGTCTGTAATTGAACAGGTCCAGAGTTTAGAAGAGAAGTCTGGACTAGAGAGAGACATTGGAAAGTCAGCAGCATATCATGGTGTATTTTTAAGTCATGTGACTAAGCAAAATTGATTACCCAGGGAACAAGGTAGATAGAGAGGAGGAAAGCCACATGGTGTATGGAAGTTAAAGGGCTCTGGGGGAAAAAAAGGTACCCACAAATATGACAAAGTCAGGAAGAAAATGAGAAGGTGAGTGTCCTGGGAGCCAAGGAAAAAATGTGCCTCAAGGAAACAGATAAGATCAACTGTATCATGTGCTGTCACAATGTCAAGTAAGATGAGAATTGAGACTTGATTATTAGGTTTAGCAGCGTGGAGATCATAACCAGTTTTGATGGCATGGTGAAGACAACCTAATTTGAGTGTAAGAAAAGATGGGATTTGATGTATTTAACAAACACAAAGTAAGGTTGGCTGCCTCGTCCACAATCAGACATCTGGTGAAAGCAGTGGCAGGTTTCAGGCATAACTGTTCTGCCTCCCCTGCCATACCCACATGCACGGCTGCTTCTGTGTAGGTGGGAGGACTGGTATTTTGATTTCTGCTGCAGAGAAGAGCAGACAAGGAGAATAAGATAAAGAGTTCAGTTTTTTGGTAGTTTTGTTCCCTTTCAAATTGGAGAAAGAATGACTTATTAGATACAGAAAAACTAATGAAGCAAGGGATAGAGAAGAATGGTGGAACAATGTCCATGAGTAAGCAAAAGGATTTGGGACCTAATGAGGAAGCAGAGGGGCTGGCTCTCGGTGGGGCACGGGTATGTGGTCTGCGGTAATAGGATTGTAGGCACAGCGGGCATGGCATGTGCCTTCCCTCTTGTCACAGTGCAGGAAGTGGCCCTTCTCCTTGCAAAGCCAAGCATTCCATGTGTCCTAAGTCCTATCCCTTCCCATATTCTGAAGGACTCTTCTAATGATACATAAATGTATCTTCTCATTTATTATTCATCTTTAAAAATAAATATATAGGGACCAGCAGCTAGCGTAAAGGCTACGTCGCAGAACTCCCATGTAGTCAACCACAGTTCGAGTCCCGAACCCGGTGGCTTAAACTCATGCCAGGCACGTGTGCATGCGTGCCCAAGATCCCAAGAGGAGAAGGGATTGCGGCGTGGCCATCCTTTCTGGGGGGTGATTTCTCGCTTTCTGTCTCTCTGTCTTTCTGGTGAGTGCATGCGCCCTATAGCAAAAACTTCTCAAAAAAAAAAAAAAAAAATA